GAGGAGGAGAGGGTACCGGAGGTGGAGGTGGTACCCGAGAAGATGCCAGACTCGCTGGGCGTGGTCTTTGTGTCGGAGGAGGTGGTCCCGATAGCGGGCGAGGGGGTAGTCCCGATGGCTGGGGAGATGGAGATTCCCAAGACTCATGAGGAGAGGACGATGGCTGTTGACGTGGTGGAGCGGGTGGTCGGCAAGAGGCTAAGGGTGCCATCACAGTACGTTCTTTCTCCCTTTACCGCGGAGGCGAAGAGGAGAAGGTTCGTTGACGGGACGCACCCGAATTTATTCAGGGAGGTGGACCACGCCAAGTGGAAAGCCTTTGAGACAGAGTGGAGAGCACTGCAGCCTGGGTAAGTTTTGTATTTTATATAATTAGTATAGTACGCAGACGCAGACGCTGACACGTGTATACTTCTTATAGCTAAAAATTCTGGCCAACTGCACGATTGCTGAGAAGACGATCTCAAATGCTTACAAGTGGTTCCACGACATCACCACTTCGGAGGCTTGGCTCGCAGACGATGTAAGTGAAATGAAAATATTGTTATTTATTATGTATGTTCAAAATCAATTTTTTGAATGAAATTCATATATTAACTCCTTTCTTTATTGGTGTTTCTTGATGTAGCATATCGACTTGAGCATGGATTTGCTACGAGATCGTGCTGAAAGACATCCAAAATCGTTCAACATTCCTGGCAAACTCATATTGAACACCGAGTTCATCCGTGTCGTTGATATTGAGTACCAGTTGTTCCAAGCTATGGGTAGCAAGTACACGGTGCCGGAATATATGATGGAATGGGTCGTAGGGATGTGGCTGAGTGTCGGTGGAAAGCCATGGGATGACTGTACGCATATGCACATACCAGTATGTGTGAATCATCACTACATTGCAGTGGAAATCGTATTCGCTGACTCCACCATGTATGTGTACGACCCCGATCATTCATGCCTGACACAAGGCTAGCTCGAGCAGAATCTAGAGTCGGTGTCTGAGATCGTTCCCATGATGGCTAGACGAGCGAACATCACTGTACAGGACAGATTGGCCACCGTGCGGAACACGACGACGGCGAGGCAGCAAATATCGTAAGTGTTTGTAATTTTCTTTTTGTCATTTACATCTTAGATTCTAACTAATTTTCGATGTGCTAATACAATAGTGTTTAATTGTAGGGGTGATTGCGGCATGTTCGTCATCAAGTACATAGAAATTTTGAGTGTGGCACATAAGGTTGATGCAATCAACCAGGCATGGATACAAAATTGGAGAAATAAACTAGCATGTGATTTATTTGAATTTAATGGGGATCCGTAAATAATTGTACATATTTTTACATTTATTTAAATATCGTGCAGTTCATTCATTTATTTGTAATTACGAAAGAATTTTAAAATTTGATTATTTATGTAATATTTAAATATTTATTTTACAATGCAGCCTACCGTATAATGCAGTGTCTAGAAAAAGCTTCGATTTCAAATAATTAACATATATAATATGCATAACAAATGAATGTAATGAATGAAATATTTGAAAAAATACTAAATCCAATAATTCACATAAATAATATGCATAAATAATTAACGTCAATGTTATAAATAATTACATTGCCAATAGTTATTAAAATTACACATTCATTACATTGTCATGTAGAGGAATCTGACTTGTACAATATCTTCTAGTATGCCCTGTTGCACTGCACCTACCGCACTTACGAGGCTGGGGAAACTCTCCGGTAGATGGTATTCTAGACGTACGTGTACGTCCAGGAGTACATGGTCTAACTGCTAGTGGCAACAAGTTATTCAGTGAGAGAATGTGGTCGGGCACTTCCCACTCGACTTCATTTGGTACAAGAAATATTGTTTCCGCATATGCTGCTCTCCAATAATCAGTCATGTAATACACACTGCATAAGGTGTGTGGTGGTAATCCTCTATGCATAGCCACTGCCACTGCATGTGTACACGAAAAACTTTCCAACTGAAACCGTCTACACGTGCATGTGTTATCATTCAAGTCCACAATGTATCTAAAATTACGTGCACATCTCACGAAGAAGCGAAATTGATCTAGTGGTTCTACATATACCTTTCTTGCCACATCTAGAGTCTTGAAGAGCTTATCTTCATGAGCCGGGGTTAGCACACCTGCACAACTCTATGATTCCTCACGTCGATCATGAAACTACTGTTGTAGCTTGTCACAAATGTTCTCAATCATTGCGAGAATTGGTAACTCTCGATCTTTCTTGAATAAAGCGTTAAGCGACTCCGCATTGTTCGACGTCATCATGTTGTATTGACGTCCTGGAAAATGTGATCGTGCCCAATATTCAATCCCCATCTCTGTTAGATACTCCCATCTAGCATGCGATTTACTGTCTATTTCGACCATGAACTTATCAAACTCTTCAAAACTGTAAGCCTCTGCAGCTCTCCTAAACAACGCAAGGACGCCATTGCCTCGATACCTGGTCTTCAAGTTTCCCCGTATATGGTACATACAATAACCATGATGTGCCTTGAGAAAGACTTCGACGATACCATTTATTATTGACTGCCCTCGATCGGTTACGAATGCAAGATTTTCGACATCTCCAATTACTTCCCTCAACTTCGTGAAAAACCAACTCATTGCTACATCATTTTCTCCGCCGACTATGCCGAACGCAAGAGGATAAATTTGGATGTTCGCATCTTGACATGTTGCAATAATCAACTTGCCCCCGTATCTCGCCTTAAGGGTTGTACCGTCGACTAAAATTAGGGTTCGCATTGCATTTCGAAATCCTCGAACACATTGTCCAAGGGCCATAAAGAAATATTTGAAATGATTTTCGTCATCCTTCTCAATAAAAATGTTGACCCAGTATTAATTCTTCCCATGTTATAGCAATACCAGGCCAATGTAAATAAAAATAATCATAATTTAGATAATATATTAAATATTAAATGGACAGAAAAATAAACAATTCAATTAAATAATTAATTACATATAAATAAACAATTGAAATTAAATAATTAAAATTTAAAATAACAAAGAAATAAATATTTAAACAATGAAATACCTGGCTAATTTAGCATAACTCTCCTCAGTCGAACCCATCAAATCCTCCAATGCACATTCTTTAGCCTTCCAAACCTTCTGATAGCTCATGACCACCCCGTACTCTCATCGAATATCATTAATGATGTCCGCAGATCTGTAGATCGTTTGTGGATCCTGGAACTTGTGCATTATTTCTCGACCAATGAACCATGATCGGGCCTGTCTATGATCATTTCGACGAATACCCATTTCGCAAATATGTTCCCGTGCATACTTACGGACTACAAAGAACTCACTCGTGTCCATCTTAGTCGCTCGCAAATACCAATGGCAACTGTCGTTAACGCAGATAATTGTGTACGTCGACTTGTTTGATTTCTTCACTTTAAACTCGAAGTTATGTTTTAAAGTAATCCGGTGCACAGCTTCTTGCAATCCTTTCTTTGATTCGAATAGTTGCTCGACATATACATCTTCATCATCGGGAACTACACGCGAACAATTAGATGACCGTGTACTCGGTCCGGCCAGTGAGCTCCCACCCGACTCATGTCTCCTACGAGATAAAGCAATCAAATCCTCGTTTGTAAATGCGTTTTCATTCTCGTTGTCTTCAACTATCGATGGAATTCTGTGCGAAATAGTGTGATTATGGTGAGTAGCAGTGGTCTCGAGAATAACCACATCATCTTCACGAACAATCTGAATTGTATCCCAAACATCATTTACATTACGATTCTCTTCATTTGAAACTTCGTGTTCACCCTCGTGGACATTCTTCCCCAATAAAGTTACGCAAATAGGAGTCGACTTTCGACCTTGGTTCAATTTAATTAGATGTTTCATTTCCACTTCAGAAGTAACTTTCATAGGTGGAATTGGAATGGTTGAATGCTTATGAAACAAAAACCCCAATTCCATATCGTACTGAGAGGGATCGACGTTAAGCATGTTTTGTATATCACTGTACATTTCTGCAAACGATGTACTCCTTGTTATAAAAATTGCTTTAACTCCATCTCCTTCACTCGTCCATTTCCATTCCCACTGAGCATTTTCATTCATTTGAAATTCATCAAAATAACAAATTGGGAGGCCATATCTGTCACAAATTAAAAATAAGGAATTAATATATAATTTTTTAAATTGTTCATTTCATATTTAATTTAATTTAATATTTTAAATAATTCATTGATTATTTTAATTATTTCAAAAATATTTATTTCAATTAGTATTAAATATTCATTAATATTTATTTCAATAAACATACATTAATGAACAAATAAATTCTAAAATCTGAAAGGGGAGGGGAGGGAAAGACAAAAAAAAAGGGCCGGCTACGTAGGATAACTGGGCATGCTGGAAATATTTGACCCAACTTTTTTTCGTCCGTTTCATCTGAAATTTACGTTTGAATTTTTTATTTTTTTCCCTTTTTCAACGAAATAATGTTTAAATATTTATTTTACAGACACCTATAAATTTTTCCTGTAAAATATATGCATACAGAGATGAATTTTTTTGTTATTTTTGCTATAAAAAAATTATACATCTGTGTTTATCTTTGATAATTTTGGGAGATTTCAATATTTTAGCAGATGGAAGGAAAAAATTCTTTTTTACTGTATTAGAGAAACTGATAAGCAAAACTGATTTTGAAATTTACGTATGAAAATAACTGAATTTATTTAAACTATTAAAGGTATTATTGTTTTTCAAAGAATTGATATACTTTTGTAATTGTGAAACATAAATAAGAGCACAATTATCTTTTTATTGACAAGAGACCAATATGGTGAATACAAAAAAAAAAAGATCAAATTGAAAAATTGATTATTCGACCAAGCCAATTTAAAAAGTACCCATTCAGCATCCCCTGCTGAGTGTTTTTATCATCACAAATATATACAAATACAACACAGCCCACCCAAATTCTTCCTAACTTCCCAACATCAAACTTTTCTTATATATACAGGAGGAAGGAGTGTTATATACACACACACACACGCCTTATAAGCAGTGGAGTGAGTGTGTGAATGTGAGCACACAAAGAATGGGCTGTTTCCAGTCCAAAACCGCCAATGTTCAGTCGCCTGACAAAGAACCTCCCCAGCCTGACTCCAAACCAGATCTGGGTATCCTTCGTTTCCTCTTCTTTATACTCCTTATTTTTAATAATCATTCATACGTTTGTGTATATCTATCGTTGTACTTCTATTTTTTAGATTTTCTTTTTGGACTTAAGGGTTGATTGCATGCTTAATGCTTAATATTTTTAACTTTATTGTGGGCAGCATATATTAGTTTTCCTCATTTAGTAATATTGTATAAAATGTGTATATGATTATACTGTGTCCGTGTGGTTTATTATTTATTTTTTCTGTTTTTAATGCTTAGATATAAATGTATATAAATTTTTAAGGGTATGTCGTGTTTGTCTTTGGGGTTTATTTGACGGAAAGGTATTGAATAGGGCTGCTTTTTGAAGACTTAGATGAAAAATGACATTTTTTTGGTTATCATATAGTTTCTCCATTGCTTAAAAGATCATAAAATAGTTTCTTTATTTGTTCTCTTTATTATTTTATGCGTATTTATGTAAATGTGGGTCTGTGTTTTTATATTTTTTCTGAGGAAGGTATAACCAACCTTTACACAATGAGGTCTTACATCTTTCTATTATCTTCATAATTTTTGCACCTTGATCTTACAGTATCAGAAAAGTTTGGCATTAGCATATTCAAATTTTTCCTATGTTTATCTTTCTTAACTACTTTTTGTCTTTTACTTGTTGGATGATTGAATCTTGAATGCTGATTTCTTGAGTGAAAATTTTCATTTTTCCTCATTTATACAATTTAATATGTTGGTAATTTTTTGGGTTTGAGTTTGTTCTATTCGTTTTGGGAAAGAAAGTTCTTTTGGCTTTTTGTTGTATTTGCTTAATATGTGTTGAGCCGAATGTCTACGAATGACCTACGAAATGAGAACTTCAATGCTGAATTTTGATCGAAGAACTCTGAATTTCATATGTTTATTTCTTCCTTATGCATCATAACATTCATGCACCTGGCATAAGTTTTTGATGCCCCCTTTTTACTTACATTTTGTTCTTTCTCTTTTGATGTTTTGGTCAACTGTTAAATGCTGATGAAGCAAATGGGGACCAAGAAGGTCAAGATCTGGTGCCTGCATTCCAAGAATTTGGCCTTGCAAAGCTGCGTGCTGCAACAAATGAGTTCAGCAGAGATTTCATTGTTTCAGAGAGTGGAGAGAAAGCTCCAAATGTTGTCTATAGAGGGAAGCTTGGAAATAACCAGCTTGTTGCCATTAAGTGCTTCTCAAAGCAGTCATGGCCCAACAATTTGTAGTAAGTTCTTGTTTTGTATTGCCAATTTAGATATTAGTTAGCGAATTCTAGCATACTTCATTGGAGAAATGCTCAAGGAAAATGGAAAATCTCAAGATGAATTTTGGCTTCATGTTTCCAAATTGTTACGTTACCAGGTTTTCATTATTTCTCTTTAAGGTCTACTCCCTCAAAATAAGTCTGTAAAAGTTGATTGATTTCACTTGATGATTCTGCTTGATTTAATTTCATGAACTTCTGTATTCATATAAGCATTCTAACACAGTAAATTGGGAAGTGGTCTACCTGTCTTTGATGTTCCACTTGTGTCATTCAGGTTTTTTTTTATGTCAATGTATGGGAAAGTTGAAGCTATAAGTACAAGGAACTAAAATGTATCATGCTAGTAAACCAATATTGGCACCTTAATTGTTTTAGAGCATGTTTAACTGTGCTTAGAAGCAAGTCAAACTTACTTTTAAGTTACTTGTTTTGCCAAACAATGATTTTCGAAGTGACTTATTTTGACTAGCAAAATTTTCTTTCTAGAAAGTAAGTCTCAACTTACATTCTAGATAAGTAACTTTTAAGTACAACAAATATACTCTTACTTCTTTAAGAGGATTCTTGGGATTTATGAAATCAGTTTGAGACTTTTGTTTATGTCAATGGAGCTATTGACTGAATGCCTGTAACATCAAGATTGCTACGTATCTCTTCCATCCAATTCTCGAGTCTTGTGTTTAATTTTAAAAATCATGTATCAGTCTTTGTGATTATCATGAAATTCATTTGCAGGCAGAAGCTGCTGGAGTTGGTAAGGTTAGACACAAGAGACTGGTGAATTTAATCGGATGTTGTGCTGAGGGAGATGAGCGTCTATTAGTTGCTGAATTTATGCCTAACGATACACTGTCAAAGCACCTCTTTCACTGTATGTATTTTAGTCTTTAGCCTTACTAATGGAATTTTTGAACATATTACATGATAGCACTGTTTTGTTCTACTTTCCAGCCATATATCTTCTAGATATGGTTACTGTTGTGAATTGCATTTTCCACTTCTTGCAGAAAGTAAGAAGATTATGTTAATGGTATCTATAATGTTCTGTGCCTCTTATTTAATTGGTATGCCAAATGGCAGTTCTGCCATGTGAGAAATAAGAAAATGAGTTTTGGGCCTTATTTCTTGTTTCTCTTTCTTTCTGGACATTCTTAAATTCTTACGTAATAAATATTTTATTTAAATTAGTTGGCATTTTCTTGTCCTCTCTTCCGTTTTGTGCATGACTTTTATTTTTGCTTTAGGGGATAAACAACCTTTGCCATGGGAAATGCGTGTGAGAGTTGCATATTATATAGCACAGGCACTTGATCACTGCAATGCTGAAAACCGAAATATCTATCATGATTTAAATGCTTATAGAGTTATTTTTGATGAGGTACTTCTAAACAGCTATTCAGTTCTCATAATTTTGTCTTTGCTTGGAAAGTACTGTTGTACATCTTTCTTTATGATATATGTGTTTGCTTATGTATGTATGTGTGTGTGTCTATATATATATATATATATATATATATATATATATATATATATATATATATATATATATATATATATATATATATATATATATATATATATATATATATATATATATATATATATATTTTTTTTTTTTCCCCATTTTCTGAGTCTTTAAAAATTCTGAATTTGATACTTCATTGCATGAGAAGGTTGTTGGACTATCAACTAATATTAGGACTCTAATGCGTGGATAAAACCTTAAACTATTAGTTAACTCTGTTTCTCATTCAAGATCTGTAATTCTGGACGCAGCAATTTAATCAACAGGGTCCATCTTAGTGACTTCCTCCGGATAGAATAGAAACTCTCATGTAGTGATCTACTTGCCATTGGGGCACGGCTTTTGTGATGACCTATTGTCAAATTCTTTCTGAAGAAGATGTCATTGATAGCGACGGATTCATTAGAAACTTTATTTAGTTATGCGAGAGCAAGGATGATTAGTTTGACATCTTCATCTAATCTTTCATGCTTGCTTGATATTGGGTGTGTTTGAGCTTCATTTTTATTGAGAATGTATTTTGTAGTAGTGATTTTCTTGAAGAATGTGTGGGTTAAAAAGTTGGGAAAATTTTTAGGTTTACGTGTAAAATAATTTCATTGGGAGAATGTATGTTTGAAAAAGAGCTTGGATAAAAATGAGTTTTTAAAAATTGGGGATCAGAAGGGGGCATAATATTCAATCCAAAAACAAGTGAAGTAGACATAATGGGTTGGAGATTTATAGAGTAAAACAAAAATCTACATGCGCACCAAAAGCCAATTACAGAAATAGAACTTATCAGTTCAATGTCAACAAATTCTTTTGCTTGTTTTTCTCATAACAGCGATTTACTTCTATTTAGGAGGGTGTATTCAATCGAGATTTTTAATGACTTTTTGAGATTTAAAAAATTTAGGGATATTAAATTGAGACTTTTTGAGACTCTGTAAAAGTCATGGTGTATTCAATTAAGACTTTTATAGACTTTAAAAAGTCTCTAAAAGTTACGGTGTATTCAATTAAAACTTTTTAGAAATCTCTATAAGTCTTACGGTATTCAAATTTTAATGACTTTTAGAGACTTTTATAAAAGTCTCTGATGTACTAATTTTTAAGTAGAAAGTACTCATATAATATCTTAAAATTTGTCTCTCATTAATCACGAGATTTTGGGAGACTTTCAAATTTCTCATTCATTTTTTGAGAAAAATACCTATTTTTTTATTAAATTATGAAAATTTATAATTAAATTTAAATATATTAATTTTTTATTTATTTTTAAAAGTATACTATACTAATAATATTAAATCCTATATATATATGTATACTTTTGATTATTAATTATTTAATTAAAGTCTTAAATTTTTATTTTTTCAAATTCTTTTTTATTATATGGGAAGAAGAAGTGGAAGTAAAAGGGAAATTATGGGAACTAACATCTCGTATGTGAGAATCTCACACCTGATCCATGTGAATTCTATTTCAAATGAAAGTTTTCAAAAGTCTTTTGAATTCCACAAAAGTCTATAAAATTTTAAAATGAAAATCCATAAAAGTCTACGAACGACTTCCACTAATTCCATACAAATTTTTAAAAGATCTACGAAATCTACAAAAGTATCAGTTAAAAAAAGTTCATCAAAGTTTTCAAAAGTCCCAATTGAATACACCCCCCTTAAAGTCTTCTTTTATCTCAACAATCATTTAGTGATCTCTTCATAAGAATCAAGAAACAGATTCAGACTGACATACTTCTCTGTATGGGTGGATCTACACTCTATCTACATTAGCGATTATTAGAACCTGAAGATTTGGTGTATAAAAAATTGAAAACCTTTGTTACACTCACATGTTGTTTCAGCATTTTCAAGATCATTACTATTTTTGAAGATTGAAAGATATTCTCTGTTATTTTCATTTTCATTCTTCTCCAGAAGAGGGTGCGTTCCTTAAATATGCTGTGACATATGTCCGTTGGTTAAAGTTGGCATGGACAATCATTCGTGATTTTTAGAAACTCGTTAAATCTTTGCTGAATCTGGTTGTTTCTGTCACAGGATGGTGATCCTCGTTTATCTAGTTTTGGCCTGATGAAAAACAGCAGAGATGGAAAGAGTTATAGCACCAATCTAGCTTATACGCCCCCTGAGTTTTTGCGCACTGGTATATTGTTCTTGGTCTATATAATTTGTTACAGAAATTTGAAATCTGGTAGAATACGGTTATATCTTTCATGAGAAATTTTATCTGGTTGTTTTCTTTTCCTTTATCATGTTTGTGAATGCTTCTTTGTGTGTCTAATTTTTTTGAATTGTTGTATAGAAGTTTAACCGAGGAATCAAGGTAAATAAATTAATATCTGTTTTGACAATTGTTTCTTATATTTACTTAAACTTTAAGGCCAAAGTTGAACTATATCTTACAATATGCTTCCTATCACACTCTAACGACATTTAATGAGTGAGAAATTTCCGTCTCTAATAGTTTCATGAACAACAATTGTTATTTTATTTAACTTATTGCAGAACGACAAAAAATTGGCAAGACAAATGCTTGACCTTTCAGATTTTTCACTGGAAAGAGTGTTCCCTTGTGAAAATTTGCCGAATGTATCCTAGTCGTCATCTGGAAATACCTATAACTTAAACAGTGTTTAGAACTCCTAGGCATTGCCAAAACTGCTATTTTGGCTGCTCATTGTATGTTCTTTGTCAAGATGATGAGGTGGATGCTCGTGTGATTTTCCCAGAAGCCTATGGACTACATGGGTGTGATCAGCTGAAGGGTTGGATTAGGAAAGATGAATTTTATACCCTGAGGAACAGATACCAAGCTCACTGGATTTGACCAATCGGGGAGATCGTCAATCATGCATTTTTGTTTATATGCAATCAAGTTCCCGTTAACTGCATATCAACAACCTAACACATCGCTGTTGTTTACTTTTGAAAATAATTATAGCCTACAAGTTACCTTGAAGTCAACTTGTGCAAAGGCCGTCAATTTGAAGGCATGGATGGAATACTTGGTCAACAAAAGTTTTGACGACTAGTTTGCTATGTAATCAACCCAAGTACTCTATTTGGCATCTTTGTATACTAGTGAAACTTTCTTTTCCACCCTATCATTTTTTGTTAATTAAACTTCTAGTAGAGCCCTTGCCAATGTTTAAATGTCTACATATTTATTTTTTCATTTTTTATCTGTTTTTGGTGTACTCTAGTGTATATGAATTGCCTCTCTATTTCCAAATGCCGTAATTGTGAATTCTACCAGTGAAAAATTATATTTCAAATATATTAACTTCTTTATCCCTGAGTTTTCTGATTGCCAGCAATCAGATCCTGGTCAATCTACCTGAAAGTTTTCTATCTATTTGTTTAAAATTTATGATCACAGTTTGTTATCTATAAGTTATGACACCTCTTTTTTTTCTTTCCCAATATTTCAGGCAGGGTCATTCCAGAAAGTGTGATTTACAGTTATGGAACTGTTCTACTGGACCTTTTGAGTGGAAAGCATATTCCTCCTAGCCATGTAATATATATTCTGTCACGCTCTCATGCTTCACTATGTTGATTAGGATCGTAGGTTTAGTGGCAAGTTACTTTCTGAATTTTGCCAACAACTCACTTGTTGTCTAAAAACAGTCTACCGACCCCATTTCAATAACCCTTTTAATCACTGTCAACCATTAACTCTTAATGATGATAGCAGCACATACCTGCAAAGATTTAAAGCATTCCAATAACTCATACAATGACCAAAATGCCTCTAGTTTAGAGCCTGTTTGAGCCCCATTTTTTTTTGCCCAAAATGCATTTTTGAATAGTATTTTGATGGAGATGTGAGGTTAAAAAAATATGGAAAAGTTTTGGGTTTGCATGTAATATTTTGTCATTGAAGAATATGTGGTTGAAAATAAGAGAGATAGAAATGTATTTTGGAAATAATGGGGACCAAACAAGGGCTTAATTTCTTTGGCAAAGGAATTGATAACTTGAGAAAAGAGGGAATCAACAACCAAATGGTCAATTAATACTGAAAGAATCTTGTGTTTTCAAAGAAAGAACTTACGTTGATTAGTTATTTGTCAAAATAAAGGTATGGGCCTATACTGTTGCGTATGGGAACATGAGTTGGAGTACATAACTAGAGTCAACACTGTCAGTAGAAGCTAAAAGGAAGGCGGCATACAGATGGCTTAGAAAACCGCAAAAATTTAGAAGGTTGGTTGAAGTATGAGAAGCTAATGGGATGGGTTCTTTGCAGTTTCTCCCATGCGTTCTCAAAGATTTTATGAACCATCAAAATGACTTAATGGCAAGGTTCAGACTATACAAGGGCCAGATTTATTCCAGCTCATTAACTTTAATTTCAGATAATGTTAGGGCCAGACTTCTCATGCCTAGTAATTTTAAATTTGAAGAGTAATATTTTCATTTTTACCTGAAATCTTTCTATCACTTAATTGAGAGCTAAGATTGCTTGATTTAGCTGACAAGATAAATTCTGTGTTTTATCTTAGTTAGCATTCATTCATTTTTTGAACTGGATGTATTTTCACATGCGGTATTTACATGGTATAAAAGATAACTGGCTGTCTTGGTCTTGTCCAGCTTGTTTTACCCATTTGAGGATGCACAATCCTTGGTCCTACTTTTAATAAGTTGTAGGTTCCTCTACTTCAAAGGTGCAGAAATCTTGTTTGTTTAAGAAAACTGGAAGAGTTAATGCCAGTTAGCCAGTTACCCCAAGCGAAGACTAAAATTACTGGAGTATTGATATTTTATCTCATTAACTAATTATTTTATAAATTATCACTAGCTAATATTGTCAGTTGGGTAGAGGAGCATGATAAGTGTCCAATCAGTTGTCATCATCTATTAGTATCCATCATAGAGACATAAAGAGAGGCAGAGAGGGAATATAGGTCCAAATTGAAAAATATGTAACAATGCAAAGATTCCGCTATATCAGGGCCCTTTTAGCAGTCCCTTACAGAATCTATGATTTTGGGGATTACTCTGATTCTCTCATTCATATAACCAACCAACACATGATGCCGGTGTACTAAAATCAAACTGATAGTTTCTGACTAACATTCCTCAAAGCAAGGTCCTAAAAACAAGAGTGTGTCAGCAGGTAGTGTCCATGTACTAAATACTATCAAATCATATATGACTAGCTTTATGTGGATGGGGCATCTCATCGGATACCTTAGTGTAAATTTGCTATTCTCTGTACCTTGTCCTTGTCAAGATAGACCATCTAGACTGAGATGAGGTTCATCTCACTGAGATCTTAGCCCAAGTTTTAAGCCTCGAGGAGATACCGGAATAGGTACGGCACCCTTGATTTTCTTTAGAAAGGGAGGTCTTCACTAATTCTTTTCTTTATTTTATCCAAAGAGGGTCAATGATATTTATGTTCAGGTTTGCTGGCCTCTATCAAAGCCTTCCCTCATTTTATATTAATCAAAATTTTAGCTGCATAAATTAAGTTCCTGTTGATTTAATTTGTTTATTGAAAATTATTATATATTCTTCTCCAGGCATTGGATTTGATAAGAGGAAAGAATGTTTTATTGCTGTTGGACTCATCCTTGGAAGGACAATATGCTAATGAAGATGCTACTGCGTTAGTGGAACTTGCATCTAAGTGTCTCCAATACGAGCCTAGAGATCGGCCCGATATGAAGTTTCTTCTAACCTCCGTCGCCCCTCTTCAAAGGCAGGAGGTGAATATTTTATTTATGTTTTGTTTGTCATCATTTTAGAGGTTTGGATACAAGTATTAGACTGCCGCATATACTGGTGGAGTGACCAATATATTCATGGATGTACTGAGCCTTTCTCCTTCACATTCCTAGGTTGCTTCGCAAGTATTGATGGGTCTTACAAAAAACCCTGTGGTTATACCTATCATACTTTCTCCTCTTGGAAATGCTTGTTCGAGAATGGACCTTACTGCTGTGCATGATATCTTGCTTAAAACAGGATATAAAGACGAAGAGGGTGCTGAAAATGAGGTGAGTTGATTTGTCTCCTTCACTTCTCCATAATCAATTAGTGGGAAGAAAGAATTTCACGGGATCTATATGATCTGAAATATTTGAAAAATAATTCAATTGACAAAAGAAACTGGAGTGCTGTTTTGACTCAATATTGATGTTACATATCTTGGACATTTGTGAACCAAGATTTTTAACTTGTTACACCTGTATTGAATAACAGTATTTTGAAGTTTATTGCTGTTTTGGATCGTGCAATCTTACATTAAGACGTTTCGTTTGGTAATATTGTCTGTCTGCAGCTTCATTCCAAGAATGGACCCAACAAGTTCAAGATATGTTGAATACAAAGAAACTTGGGGATATTGGATTCAGGGACAAGGACTTTAAGAGTGCAATTGATAATTACTCAAAGGTACATTCGTTGTTTTTCAATCTGATCTATTATTATTAGGGCCCGTTTCGCAAGACTTTTGCTTTTGTTTCTGCTTCTTGTAGAAGAGTTTTCTGAGAAAATTACCTTCGGTCAGCTTTCTATAAAAGCTTTCTTCTAGCCTGTACACCTTGTATTTACTTTGGCTTTTTCAATATGGTTATGTGTTCAACTTTTAATTTAACATTGTTTTTTTTGATGGACAGTTGGTATCGACAATGTCTGTTCCTTCTGGTACGGTATTTGTGAGACGAGCCCTCTTGTACTTGATGATTGACCAACCGGAACTTGCACTGAGAGATGCAATGCAGGCTCAAGTTTGCTTGCCGGAATGGCCAACTGCTTTTTATATGCAGGCTCTTGCCCTCTGCAAGCTTGGAATGGAAACTGATGCTCAAGACATGCTCAGTGATGGAGCTGCCTTCGAAACTAAGAAGCAAAATAGTCAACGAAATTAAACGACAACATGATAGCGGATATCAGGATTGTCTTGTAGGCTGGGCTAATTCAGTGGTGTGAAGGTTACATGGGAAATCTTACTGCGGTTTTAGGCGCTATAGCTGAAATGTGTAAATCACCTGTGCCAAATTTTTAGTAGATAGTCACTGGTTAATGCAGTTTGAATGTTAGTCTTGCCAACTGCCCCGCCACCCCTGTCGGAAATCCACGACCTTTCATTTTCCTCCCCGATTACATTGTCTAGGAGCTGTAGAGCGTAGTGCAGGCGTCAACCAAAACCACCACCACTATAGGAATATAGAATTGGAACCATTAAACCCCTTGCATATCTTGAGAAATGACTTCGGTCAATTGAACAACCTCTGGCTGCCTTTTGTTGTCCAATATGATGGGGTACACTTGAGAATTATGTCGAGCAGTTGGTGTGCGACTTTGCTTCCTGTAATGCTGCCCGAATTTTTTGGAAAATTTCAAAACGTAGTCGGCAATTTGTTGTTCAGCTATCTCACCTTTGAAACTTCATGCAATACGTGAGATGGATCCGTCCCTCCGAAAGAATTGATCATCTAGTCGAACATGAGTCATGAGTGGCCGCATCAATCCATTGGCAATGCTAGAAATTTTTCCGACGATTATAAGATAAAACATCAACCCTATTTGAACAAGCAAAATGTTTACAAAATGAAATTCTAAGATCGTTTCTTCGTTGCCTGCTCTTTATCCACCATTTCGTATAGAATTGAAGAAACAGATTTGAGTTTAAAGGCAAGATTAAATTTGAATGATGAGATTGCTTTTAAAGTAAACTTGGAAGACCCAATTGAAATTTCATAAAAGTTGAAGCATTAAATTGCTTTTATACTATAGTTGGAAAACCCAATTGATGTTTTCTAGCAGTTGAAGGATAAAATTACTTCTAAAGTACACTTGGATTCCCGAATTGATGTTTCCTAAAAGTTGAAGGACTAAATTTCTCTGGAACAATAGTTGGATGACCTAATTGAAGTTTCCTAAAGATTGTAGGACTAAATTGCTTCCAAGTAATAGCTAGATGACCAATTAGAAGTTTCAAAAAAAGTGAGGACTAAATTACTTTTCCACTATAGTTGGAAGAACAAAATGAAGTTTCTCTAACTTTCAAGGACTAAATTGGTTTTACAAAATAGTTAGATGACACAATTAAAATTTCAAGGTTTAGGGTGTAGATTAAAAGATTAGTCCTTCAAGTTTTAACAATCTTTAATTCGAGGACCTAATTGAAATATAGGGTTAGGGCTTCAGATTTTAGGGTGTAGCGTTTAGGTTTTAGTGTATAGTTTAAGCACTTTAGTCCTTCAACTTTTATGAAACTTCAATTGGGTCGTCTCAATATAGTGTAAAGGCAATTTTGTCCTTTAACTCTCGAGAAACAACAAATTGGTCATCGATTTATTATTTAGAAGCAATTTAGTTATCCAACATTTCAGAAACATCAATTGGGTAATCCAACTACTGTTTAAAAGCAATTTAGTACTTGACTTTTGAAGAACCACGAAATTGGTCATCTAACTATTGGTTAGAAGCAATTAAGTCCTCCAGCATTTCCTAAACAACAATTTGGTCATCCAACTATTGTTTACAAGCAATTTAGTGCTTCACCTTCAAAGAAACGTGAAATTGATCATCCAACTATTGATTAGAAGCAATTTAATCCTCTAACATTTCGGAAACCTCAATTCGGCCATCCAACTATTGTTCAAAAGCAATTTAGCCCTTCACCTTGTCAGAAACATGAAATCGGAGATCAAACTATTGATTAGAAGCAATTTGGTCCTCCGATATTTCGAAAACCTCAATTTGGTCATCCAACTATTGATCGAAAGCAATTAAGCCCTTTACCTTTACAGAAAAAGCGAAATTGGTCATCAAACTATTGATGAGAAGCAATTTAGTCCTCCAACATTTCGAAAAAAAATTGGTCATCCAACTATTAATCGAAAGCAATTAAGACCTTTTCAAAAACATGAAATTGGTCATCAAACTATTGATGGGAAGCAATTTAGTCCTCCATCATTTCGGAAAAAAGAATTTGGTCATCCAACTATTAATCGAAAGCAATTTAACCCTTAAACTTTTTGAAAACACAAAATTGGTCATCTAACTATTTCTAAGAAGCAATTTAATCCTCCAACATTTGGGAAACAAGAATTTGGTCATCAAACTATTGTTTAAAAGCAATTTAGTGCTTCATCTTTGAAGAAACGTGAAATTGGTCATCTAATTATTATCTAGAAGAAATTTAGTCCTTCAACATTTCGGAAACATCAATTTGGTCATCCAACTAATGTTTGAAAGCAATTTATTCCTTCATCTTTTCAGAAAGATAAAACTGGTCATCTAACTATTGATTAGAAGCAATTTAGTCCTCCAACATTTTGGAAACATCAATTTGGTCGTCAAACGAATGTTTAAAAGCAATTTAGTGCTTCATCTTTTCCGAAACATGAAATTGGTCATCTGACTACTAATAAGAGCAATTTAGTCCGCCAACACTTCGAAAACATCAATTTGGTCATCCAACTATTGTTGGAAAGCAATTTAGTCCTTTAACATTTCGAAAAATCTATTCAATGAGAAAAAAAAGGAGAGAGAGGAATTCGAACCCTTGATAGTTCTTTGTTCAAAACTATACCGGTTTTCAAGACCAGGGCTATCAACTACTTAGCCATCTCTTCGAAAGACAATTTTTATTTATTCATCCGAATAGAACATGGCCATAGGGGTGGATACCACTACTATTTGTAGAAAGATCTTAGGTGTGAATCTACCGATGGATCCATCTATCCGTATATATATAATCCAACATGTCCAATTTTGAAATATAAAAAACAAAATTCCATTTCCCCTGACTCCATGTATGAATAAAGTGGTCAAAGGGGTAGTAATAAGTCATATAGAATCAATTGATTCATGGTAAACTTAAATCCCTCTATCAGCATTGGTCATCTAACTGCTGATTAGAAGCAATTTAGTCCTCCAACATTTTCGGAACATCAATTTGGTCATCCAACTTTTAAGTGCTTCACCTTTTCGAAAACATGAAATTGGTCATCGAACTACTGTTTAGAAGTAATTTAGTCCTCCAGCATTTCGAAAACATCAATTTGGTCATCCAACTATTGCATAAAGGCAATTTGGTGCTTTACCTTTTCGGAAACACGAAATTGGTCATCTGACTATTGATTTGAAGCAATTTCGTTCTCAAATATTTCGAAAACCTGAATTTGGTCATCCAACTATTGTTTGAAAGCAATTTAGTCCTTCACCTATCAAGAAACATCAAATTGGTCATCTAACTATTATTAAGAAGCAATTTAGTCCTCCACCATTTTGGAAGTTCAATTTGGTCATCCAAATATTACTTAAAAGCAATTTAGTGCTTCACCTTTTAAGAAAAATGAAAATGGTCATCCAACTATTGACTAGAAGCAATTTAGTCCTTTAGCATTTCAGAAACCTCAATTTGGTCATCCAACTATTGTTTGAAAGCAATTTAGTGTTTAACTTTTTCGAAAAATGAAATTGGTCATCTAACTATTGATTAGAAGACATTTAGTCCTTGAACATTTGGGAAACCTCAATTGGGTCATCCAACTATTGTTTGAAAGCAATTTAGTCCTTCACCTCTCACGAAAAATCATATTGGTCATCTAACTGTTATTCAGAAGCAATTTAGTCCTTTAACATTTTGGAAAACTCAATTGGCTCATCCAGCTATTGTTTAAAAGCAATTTAGTGCTTCACCTTTTATGAAACGTGAAATTGGTCATCCAACTATTATCTAGAAGCAATTTAGTCCTTCAATATTTCGAAAAATCAATTGGGTCATCCAACTATTGTTTGAAAGGAATTCAGTCCTCCAACTTGTTGGAAACATCATATTGGTCATCAAACTACTGCCTAGAGGCAATTTAGTCCTTCAACATTTCGGAAACCTCAATTGGGTCATCCAACTATTTTTTGAAAGCAATTTAGACCTATTACTTTTGAGAAATGTTCATCTAACTATTATTTAGAAGTAATTTAGCCCTTCAACATTTCGAAAACCTCAAATAAGTCAACCAACTATTGTTTCGAAGCAATTTAGTTCTTGACCTCATGAAATTGGTCATCTAACTATTATCTATAAGCAACTTAGTCCTTCAACATTTAGGAAACCTCAAATGGGTCATCCAGCTACTGTTTTAGAGCAATTTAGTCCTTCAACTTTTATGAAACTTCAATTGGATCATCCAACTATTGTTAAGAGAAATTTTGTCCTTCAACTTCTTGGAAATCTCAATTGGGTAATGTAGGGATGTGGAACTGGCTCGGTGGCTCGGGCGGCTCGACTTGGGAAAAGCTCGAGCTTCGAGCCGACGCGGCTCGTGGCTCGGATGGGCCGAGCCTTGGCTCTGGCGGAGCCCCATTTTGGGGCATTGGCCCGAGCCCGAGCTGGTCCGTTGTGGCTCGGCGAGCCACACTGGCCGGCTCGTGTCACGGGCCAAAATGACTCGTGACAAGGCTCGCCCGAAATTCAAAGTTCAAATTTTTTTTAAAGGGTTAAGCTGCTATTATAGGCAGCTTTATAGCTGCCTATAATAGACAGCTGATGCTGCCTTAAGGTAGTCTAATTGACAGATAAAAAAATACTTTGAATTGTCTGATTTGCTACTATATTTTATAATTCAATTTATGAGGTTCATATTTGAAATTCAAATTCAAAATTCAAATTTGAATTTCAAATTTGGAGGTAAAATTGATTTTTTTTGGCTATAAATACGGGATAAATTTTTAAGTTTCAAATCAATTTGTTTCAATCCATTTTAACTTGCAGTATTATAGATTCAAGTTTCAACTCCAATTTCTTTACTCTCAATCTCATATTCAAATTCTTTCACTCTCATACAGTCATACTCTAATATTTTGTATTTTATACCATACTAGTTATAGATGAATTTTATTAGTGATGAGTTTAATCAGTTTAAGGATATCTCGAGTACTCTATCCAGTTACGACGATGCATCTCGAAATGTTCCAATTGATTTGAAGAATATTGATGAGGAAGAAGTATTTGAGATTAAAAGGTCGAAAAAAGAATCGTCGGATTGTTGACAACATATAACACGTAAAAAAGTTGGTGTTCAAAATGGAGTGGATATCTGGAAAGCATGTTGCAATTACTGTGGCAAGGAATTTAGTTGGAAGCTCGATTTGAGCACAATACATTTGAATAGACACATATTAAGGAGTTGCAAAGCGAAACCAGTCGATCTCGACTCGAAACAGATCGAACCTTTGTATATTCAAATGAAATATTTTGTGAAGGAATGATTGCATACGTGACTACAACGGAGATGCGCTTATGATGATAGACTCAGTAAATTTTACCCGGCTCGTGCAGAAATATCTCCAACTCAAGTATTCTTCTTATTGTAGAAATACTTTTCGTTCAGTTACTATAAAATTATATAACAAAAGAAAACAAGTTGCTATTGAAAGTCTAAAAACTTTTAATAGTGTTATATCATTTACATCTGATTTATGGACCGGTGGTTATAGAAAATATTATATTGCTGCTAAAACTCATTATATTGATCACCTGTGACTTTTATATAAAATGATTATTGCATTTAGATATATAGAATATCCTCATAATATCACTAACATATACATGGTCTTAAAAG